TAGTATATTCACAAATCTGTGCAACCATCACCACTATAATTTCATAACAATTTCATCACTGAAAAAAGAAACCCCGTACCCATTAGTACTTACTCTCTATTCCCTCTCATAACTCAATAACAAACTCTGAAAACCACTAATCTACTTTCTTTCATAGGGATTTGTCTATTCTGGACTGTTCATATAAATGGAAGCATACAACATGTGGTCTTTTGTGTCTAGTTTCAATCACTTAGCATGAAAAGATGGTCAACATCATTAGCCACCAGGGAAATGCAAATCAAAGCCACAGTGAGACAGGAACAATACAGGGTACTGGAAATATGCTATATTCACACCACACCCACTAGGATGGCTCTAACCAAAAAGACAGACAATGACAAGTGTTGTTGAGGATGAGAATAATTGGAATCCCTCATAAATTGCTGGTGGGAATGTAAAATGGTGCAGTCCTTTTGGAATACATTTCAGCAGTTCCTAAAAATGTTAAACAGAGAGTTACCATATGCCCAAAAATTCCATTCCTAGGTATTTACCCAAGATAAATGAAAGCATATGTTCACACAAAAACTTGTACAACCGTGTTCATAGCAGCATTATTCATAATGGTCTGATAGTGGGAACAATGATTGACCAATGAATTAATAAATAAAATAGCAAACATATGGTCTATCTCTACAATGAAATATTATTCAGCCATAATAATGAAGTACTGATACACGCTACAATGTGGATGAACCTTGAAAACATTGTGGATACACCACAGTTTGTTTATACTTTCACCTGTTGAAGGACATCTTGGTTGTTTCCAGTTTTTGAAAATTTTGGATAAATTTCCATGAAGAATCACATGCAGGTTTTTGTACAGACGTAACATTTCAATTCAGTTGGGTAAATACCAGGGAATTACAATTGCTGGGTTGTATGGTAAGTTTATGTTTAACTTTGTAAGGAAATGCCAAACTATCTTCCAAAATGCACAATTTTCACTCCTAACAGCAACAAATGAGAGTTCCTGTTGCTCTGCATCCTCCCTAGCATTTGGGATTGTCAGTTTTTTGTGTTTTAGCCATTCTAATGGGTGTATAATGGTGTCTCACTATTTTAATTTGCACTACTCTAATGATGAATAATGTTGAACATATGTTCTTACACTTATTTGCCACCTGTATATCTTCTTTTGAGAAGTACCTGTCTGTTCAGATCTTTTGCTCATTTTTTAAGCAGGTTGCTTATTTTCTTATTGTTGAGTTTTAAGAGTTCTTTATCTATTCTGGATAGAAGTGCTTTATCAGATATGTGATTTGCAAATATCTTACAGACTATACCTGGTTTTGTCATTCTCTTGGCAGTGTCCTTCACAGTGAAAATTTAAAAAAAAATTGATAAGGCCCAATTAATCAATTTTTTCTTTCATGGATTGTGCATTTGGTGCTATATTTTAATATTCATTGCCAAACACAAGGGCATGTAGATTTTGTCCTATATTTTCTTTTAGAAGTTTTATACTTTCATGATTTACATTTTGGTCTATGACTCATTTTGAGTGAAGTTTTGTATAAGGTATGGCATATATGTGCAGGTTCATCCTTTTTCATGTGAATATCTGATTGTTTCAATACCATTTGTCAAAAAAATTTTCCTTTATCCTTTGAACTGCTCCTGTACCTCTGTTAAAAATCAGTTTACTATGTCTGGATGGGTCTATTTCTGGGCTATGTATTTTCCTCCATTGATCTGTATGTATGTTATTTTGTCAATACCATACTATTTTTATTACTGCAGTTTTATAATAAATCTTGAAATCATAAGTCTATAGTAAGTCTAAAAGAACATCTCATGGGTTGGAAATGCATTATTAGTATGCTAAACTTGAGCAATCCTGTTGTTTCAGATGGTTTATGGAAGGAATATTAGCCAGAGTCTTCATATGCTCATTGTTGATCACTATAGCTTGTAAGTAACTGTTTCCAAAAATATTGCTACGATTTATGTATTTCATTCCAATTTTGATCATTTTAAAATAATTTTTAAATATTTTCTTTTTCTCACCTAAGATGCTATGAAATCATTGTTTCTCAGCCTTGCCAGCTATTTCAAAGGCACCACGTGTGTTCGGTAAGTGTTGCCTATGTTATCATCATTGTCTGGACGAGGATGACCATAACCTGATATCTGAGAATGGTTTCTGCTGCATAATAGATGGCAATCACTACATACAGGAAATGTCCTGATCATTCATCCTAAAGACTACTTTCTGTTATTGCTAAAATCTAATAGTATTATCATGCTGCATCCTAAATTCTTATATCAAAATAGAACTAATTTTTAAGGTCACAAGACTTAGAAACAAAGTGTCCTTTTGAATCATTTTAAATGGGCTTTTATGGATTCATAGCACTGCATTTCATAAATACCTCATATTAAGAAGACCTTTATGTTATAGTTTCCCAAATAGCTGGCAAACTGCCCATGAAATTATCTCAGTTATGAATTGATTTCTCTGCCCTTTCTTACTCATTTTATGATCCCCCTGGGTGCTGAGTACCATGGTTCAGCATATTTCAAAGGGTTATTGGGGTCTGAGTGAGATGCTCCAAGAATTTCAAACAGTCTATAAGGCACCATTCTCTTGCAAGATGGACTGTGTTAATTACCTTCGCTTTAATATGGCTTCCAGGGGCAAACTCCCATGACTTGGAAATCAAGGTCTATAATTCACTATTATACTGTTGATACTATGTTTTCCTGTTTATGAAATCTTTGTGTTAATTCTGAAATCACAATGGGGTTTAGTGAAGATTTATTTTGCTCAGGACTCTAGTCAATATTGACTTACACTTTGAGTGATGTTTCCCATAATTTCTACATATTCCAGCTTTCTGGAGATGGGCATTGATATAGCCAAGTATTGTTTAACCTGATATTTAGAAAATTAGATCTTGAGGTAACCCAAGACATCCTTATTCTTTGACCCTTGAAATTAATGACATTCATTTAAAACTGTTCTAAGATACCCACTTCCCTCCCTCTAGGCACAGGACGTTCCCTAGGTCTGTACGGAGGTTTAGAGGCATATTTTATGCAACAGTACTACAGGTTTGCATCTGTGCTTAGCTTCATGGGCTGTAATAATACATTAGTCAGGACTGGATTAGTAACGTAAAAGATTTCCATCCAAAGAGCCATTTTGTTACCAACCTTTCAGAAATGAAAACATTATTATGGTTTGTCAGATAATGTGAATTATATAAATTCCTTCTCTCTGGGTTTAAAGATGGGCATATACAATTAATAAGAAATACAGTCGACCAATCAGGCAAGAGAAAAAAATAAAGAGTATCCAAACCAGGAAAGAGGAGGTCAAACTATCGCTTTTTGCTGACAATCTGATCTCATATCTAGAAAATCCCAAAGACTCCATCAAGAGAGTGGAGTTGATAAATAAATTCAGCAAAATCTCAGGTTATAAAATCAATGTACACAAATCAGTAGCATTCCTATATACTGATAATAGTCAAGCTGAGAGTCAAATCAAAAACTCAATACCATTCACAATAGCTGCAAAGAAGATAAAATACCTAGTAATGTACTTAACCAAGGAGGTGAAAGATCTCTACAAAGAGAACTACAAAACACTTAGGAAAGAAATCACAGATGACACAAACAAATGGAAAAACATATCATGCTCAGGAATCGGTAGAATCAACATTGTTAAAATGTCCATACTACCCAGGTGATTTACATACTCAATGCAATCCCCATCAAAATACCAACATCATATTTCACACATCTAGAAAAAATAATTCTATGCTTCATTTGGAACCAAAAAAGAGCCTAAATAGCCAATGCAATAAGCAAAAAGAACAAATCTGGAGGCATCACATTACCAGACTTCAAACTATGCTACAAGGCTATAGTAACCAAAACAGCATGGTACTGGCACAAAAATAGAGACATAGACCACTGGAACAGAACAGACAACCCAGATATAAAACCATACACATACAGCCAACTGATCTTTGACAAAGCAGACAACAATATACACTGGGGAAAAAAGCCCTATTCAATAAATGATGCTGGGAGAATTAGATAGCCAAATGCAGAAGAATTCAACAGGATCCATATCTCTCTCTACTCACAAAAATTAATTCAAGATAGAAAAAAGACTTAAATGTAAGACATGAAACCATAAGAATTGTAGAAGAAAATTGTTGGAAAAACTCTTCTAGATATCAGGCTAAACAAAGAATTTTTGAAGAAGACCCCAATGGCAATCACAGCAACCACAAAAATAAATAAATGAGACTTGATTAAATTAAAAAGCTCTGCATCACTAAAAATAATCAACAGATCAAATAGACAACCTTTAGAATGGGAGAAAATATTCACAAGCTATACATCTGATCAGGGGCTAATAACCAGAATCTACAAAGACTGAAGTAAATCAGCAAGAAAAAGTGAGTAAGAAACATAAACAGAAGCTTTTCAAAAGAAGATAGATAAATGGCCAATAAGCATATGAAAAAATGCTCAATGTCACTAATCATCAGGTAAATGCAAATTAAAACCACAATATCACCTTACCCCAGTTAGAATGGCTTTTACTAAAAAGTACAAAAAGAATAGATGCTGGTTTGGATGCTGAGAAAAAAGAACACTTACACACTGTTGGTGGGACTGCAAATTAGTACAACCTCTATGTAAAACAGTATGGAAATTCTTCAAAGAACTAAAAGTAGACCTACCATCTGATCCAGCAATTGCACTACTAGGTATTTACCCAAAGGAAAAGAAGTCATTTTTGTCAAAAAGACACCTACATTAGAATGTTTATTGCAGTGCAATTCACAATTGCAAAGATGTGGAATCAACCCAATTGCCCATCTAACAAAATGTGGTATATGTACACCATGGAATACTGCTCAGCCACGAAGAAGGGTGAATTAAGGCCTTTTGCAACAATTTAGATGGAACTGGAGACCATTATCCTACTTGAAGTATCTAAAAAATGGAAAAAGAAACACCACATGTGCTTACTATTAAATTGGGACTAACTGACAAGCACACGTGTGCACAGAGGGAAGTAAAACTCAGTGGAAATCAAGCAGTGGGGAGGGAAGTGGGGGATGGGCAAAAACCTAACGAGTACCATGAACACTATCTGGGTGATGGGCACCCTTATAACCCTGACTCGAGCATAACAAAAGTAATCCATGTAACCAAAAACATTTGTACTCCTGTAATATTTTGGAATAAAAAGAAAGAAAGAAAGAAAGAAAAAAAATATAGAGAGCTTCAGAGAAGGAAATTAGCAATTAACTCCCCCGGTTTTATCAGTTTTTTTTCTACCTATATTTTTCTATCATTCCTAAAATATGTATTTAAATAAAGTATGCATTTCCATCATTTAAGAAATAACTAAATAAGTAAACAAAAAGAAATACGAGTATCATCTTGTTAGGGAGCTCTGTAGGGAGAGCAGTGTTTCTCAAAGTATTGCATGGGGCCTATCTGCTCTGGTGTTAGCTGCTTGTTTAAAGTGCAGGTTTCTGAATCCTTATTCAAACCCTTCTGAATCAAAATCTCTGAGGGGTCTTAATTTTTAATAACCTATTCATGAAATTGTTTGCATTAACAATGAAAATCTTGGAAAGATGATTTCTGAAACCTTTACTCCTTAATTTCCAAAATGGTGGTACTTAGCCTACCAAATCTCTGCTGAGAACTTGTGATGTGTTCTATACTAGATGAGGAGTGCCAGGTTTGGCTCAGCTGGCATTTATGGAGTGTCTACCATAGGTTAGACACCCTTGCCAAGTGCCAGGGTGGCAATGCCAATACATGTCAAGAGTCTCCTTAGAGCAACAGACATGTAAAAGGCAAGGTGAAGATGCATTTTATTATGGTAAGTGCAAATACAGGATTAGCATAGAGGCCAGAGGAATACCAGGAGAGAGGTTTCCCCAGCCTAAGAGGGGTGGAGAGTGTGGGCAGGAAGGGCTTCTTGGAAGAGCCAATATCTGACCTGCAAGGGTTATATCACCTGTAGTTTTTTCAGCACCTCCCACTGTTCTGAGCTCATTGTTCCCTCCTAAATAAACACTCATCTACCATCTCATTTATGGAGTAAAATTCCATCTTTGATTTTTTGTGTACATATTTTAACTTGTTCTTCTCTTGTTCCCACTCCATTTTTTCCTGTTTTCTGCCCACCCAGTGTTGTATATACACCCACACTTGCATTTAAGACCTGTGAAAACAGGACAATTGACTTCAGTTTTGTATCCAACTCAGTGCCTTGAAAATAGTAAGTACTTCATAAATATTCATTAAATTGAATATATTTGCTGCATCATTTCTTGAAGTACTTCCTTGATAGCCAGGAGCTCTGCCTGTATATTAAAGATTTTGCAACACTCTCCCTCTTATATAAACATATCCAGAAGCTAATAAGCCAAAGATATGGTTATTCATCTCAAGAGTCAAGAATGACTCATGAGTCTCTAACAATCAGTGACAAGACTCTAAGGAAGTGGAGGACAAGCACTGACTTCAGTTCAGCAAACATGAATGCAGCAGCCACCCCCGCCCATCCTGTACTGTGCAAGGGTAGGTCAGATTAGGTTTCTCTTTAGCATTTCTTACTTCTCAAGTTATATTCTTTTTTATAGCATAATGCAGTTTTTCTTCAACTGTCTTCATTAAATTTGAAGTCTGTGAGTATAGGGACTATCCATCTTGTTCACTGTCACCCTGGGTGCCCCTTGCAGATGAAGGTCACCATGGTGTTGCCAATAGTGTGCTAGCATCAGTAGTGCACATTTTGCACATTCATTGACTTCATAGTAACAAAATAGGTAACATCTGTTCTCTCTACTCTTAGATAGAGGCATGGATGGTCATATGTTTGGTGAATGAATGAATAAATGTTGGGGAATAAAAATATGGGGAAACCCATGTGTTGCCCTAAAGACTGTTACACTTGGGGTGGTATAGAGGGGAAGAGAAAACAATATGAAATGGTAGTTAACTAAGTACTACACGGTGCTGAGAGGTTAAAACCTCTGTAGCCTTTCAGATGAGCAAAGAGAGCGCTAAGAACTGCTGGGATAAAAACAAAAACAAAGTTACTCTAATTTGAGGCTCCACTCTTCCTAGATGTGATGATTTGAGCCAGTTGTGTGTGCGTTTGTGTGTGTGTGTGTGCACGTGTATGCATGCAGTGATTAGACACTGCATTTCACGTGTATGTGGATGAATTATGCATTTCTTCTCTCCTTTCTCTAATCTAGGTTAGCCGAAATTTGACAACCATTTAGCAATGCCTCTGATGAATGTCTTCAAGCTGAATATCCAGAAATTGTCCGACTTGCAGTCTACTTGGAATCAACTGCGTCACTGGAAGGGAATAAGCAACTGGATAATGGAGAAAAAAAAATTAATTCGACTGTGATTTTTTTAAAAAAACTTAGTTTTTCCCTCATAATTGTAATAGTCTCATGAAAATAATATTAATTTGCGTTTCCTTCGCAAACACTAGCAGTTGAAAGGGAAAGGCCTGGGGAACGTGAGAGATCACCTGGAGTAAACACTCCCCTATTATTCCCTACAGCAGTGGTTCGCAGACATTAATTGTCATTAGAGAATTCTGCCAGGAACTTGTAACAGGGCAGATTCCTGGGCCTGCCCGCCTGAATGGCTTTAATCGAACAATGAAAGCAAGTTTGTGTAATCGATACCAACTTGAATATGATTAAATGCAGTTTGTACATAAAATATAATGTTGCAAAAGTTCATTATCCCCCCAAAAGGAGTGAGTCAATATTAGGTGCTAACAGTGAGTGATGGTTGATAGAAAATGGGCAGAAGAGCGTCATTTTCTGGAAGGTATATTCTTCTTTTGAACCGTTTTCTTTACCAAGTTTTTAGCTTCTTGGGGCTCATGATTCGTTTCATTCAAATTGCAATTAAAATAAAGATGTAATACAGGAAATGCTTTAAGGGCAAAATAAAGGCAAAACACCAGAGTGCTTTGAAATGCATGAAAATGGTGCAGGTGTACGACTGACTGCAGGGTTGTAGATGGTGCTCTTTTTCCATCCCTCTCACTCGGCGTTGTTCACAAAGCACATACAGCCTGCAATTCAGATTTGCTCCATGTGGCATTCTCTGACTAGAAATTCTGTATGTAGAAAATTTTCTTTGCTTAAAATGGCAACCCCAAAATACCACTTTTTATATCATTTGTATCTAGTGCATTTGGGGTTGAAAGAAATTTTACTAA